CTCCTTATGAACAATGTTAACCACTTCTAATTTTGTTGATCTAGCTTTAATAAGTGACATAAACGGTCGCTTCCGCACCGAATTGTGTGGCATTCCGCCATCTTGGTTCTCCGGGATTGCCGGTGGGGTGTTACACTATTCCAGGTCTTGGTAGTAAAAGCTAGTACTATAAGATGTAATGGACCCACACACTTAAATGAGTCTCTGTTATGGACCAATGAACCTAGAACTAAGCTTACCCTTTTCTCTTCCAACATTACTTCATATCTTTTTCGCATGGAGATACCCTTTAAAGGAAAATCCGTTTATCTTCCACTGGCATTTTACTTCTAATCTCGTCCTCTTCAAGTCAGTTGCAGTAATAGACTTTTGAGTGATCTGAAAGCCACTTGTTCAAATCTATCTCTCATAATACTTCTGGACCCTTATCCTCTATATCCCGATCAAATTTGGACCTACTATTCTTTGTTCCATCACTGCAACTTTGATCCCAACATAGGTAGAGTCCCCACCCATCTCCGTACCAACTTAAGTGCTTCAAAAGGCGGCCATCTGAATAAACTCAACTTGAGTAACTGTTATTTGTAGGGAAATTTTCGGCAAGTCGAATCGTACTTTCCCCAAATTGCCCTCAAAATTCCAATATAACACAAGCTCTCAACATTATTCCTCCAAGAATATTGTATTAACCCGCTTTTTGACTGACCTATCTTATTTGAGGATGTGAAAACGCCTATTGTTGAAATTCAGACTTAAGTACCTCAAGGCCTCATGTCTAGCTTCTTTCCGAATAATCTAGAAGCTAAATCTCAAGATCTCTATCTAAAATGATGGAATTAAGGAAACCCCATGCAATCTCACTATCTCACCTATATAAAGCTCTGCATTTACTACGTGTCGATGGTTTGATAAGTCAGGCCCGTAACAAGAAGAAATGTGCGTGACTTAGTTAATCTTATCAACGTATCCACCATATTTTTATGAGTTTAAAAGCAAACCCAGTCACAATAGAAGTCCTAGTAACCTTAATCCTAGTTTCACTCTGGAATAGAAGTAGGGTTGTAGCAAACCAGAAGGAAACTGATGTTTCCTGCCTTGGAATAGAAGTAGGGTGTAGCAAACCAGAAGGAAACTGATGTTCTGCTTTAACTTGCTGGCACGTCAAACACCTCGACACATAATCTGTGATATCCCTCTTCATCACCGACCACCAATACTGTGATTTCAAATCTTGATACATCTTATTACTGCCAGGATGCATAGAATAAGGACTACTATGAGCTTCCTTTGAGATACCTTTTCTCAACTCTGAAATCTTAGGCACACAAATATGGTCCCTAAAATACAAGCAGTCATCACCTCTAATCACAAATCTCTTTTTCTTTCCATCTCTGACTAGGTCTTTCCACATTACAATCGTCTCATCATCTCTCTGTGCATCTCGAATTTGCTGAAGAAGGCTAGGTCAAACCATAAGTTCTGCCACAAGTGCACCATTACTAGCCATAGATAATCGAGTATTCATAGCACATAAAGCAACCAAGGACTTTCTACTAAGTGCATCTGCGACCACATTAGCCTTACCTGGATGGTAATCAATGGTGAAGTCGTAGTCCTTAAGAAGCTCTACCCATCTGCGCTGCCTCAAATTAAGCTCCTTTTGAGTAAGCAGGTATTTGAGACTCTTATGATCCGTATACAGATGGCACTTCTCACCATACAAGTAATGCCTCCAAATCTTCAAAGCAAAGACTATAGCTGCTAACTCCAAATCATGAGTAGGGTAGTTCTTCTCGTGAGGTTTAAGCTGTCTAGAAGCATAAGCAACTTCTAGAAGCATAAGCAACTACCTTACCCTCCTGTATGAGCACACAACCCAATCTATTACGCGAAGCATCACTATATATATCATACGATCTACTTGAAACTGGCTGTGTCAACACTGGAGCCTCATTAAGCATTGCCTTAAGCTTCTTAAAACTATTCTGATATTTATCAGTCCACTTGAATCTCACATCTTTTTAAAGAAGTCTAGTCAAAGGGGCCGCAATGAGAGAAAATCCCTTGACAAATCTTCTATAATAACCAGCCAATCCTAAGAAACTCCGAATCTCTGTAACATTTTCCATTCAAGCATTGCCTCTATCTTCTTCGGATCAACTCTAATACCCTCAATAGAAATAATGTGACCCAAGAAAGCAATCTCAGACAAGCAGAATTCACACTTACTCAACTTAGCATACAACTACCTCTCTCTCAATGTCTGAAGTACAATTCTCAAATGGTGATCATAATCCTATCTAGTCCAAGAATATATCAAGATGTCATCGATGAATACAACCACAGACTGATCTAAGTAAGGATAAAATATCCGGTTCATCAAATCCATAAAGACTGCAGGAGCATTAGTTAGACCAAACGGCATCACCAAGAACTGATAGTGACTGTAACGTGTCCTGAAAGCTATCTTAGGTACATCTGATTCTTAAACCCCTAGTTGATGATAACCTGATCTCAGATCTATCTTCGAGAACACACTAGCTCCTCTCAGCTGATCAAACAAACTGTCTATTCGAGGCAATGGATATCGATTCTTCATAGTAACTTTGTTAAGTTGTCTACAGTCAATACAATATCTTAGTGATCCATCCTTCTTCTTTACATACTACACTGGAGCACCCCACAGAGATACACTAGGAAGAATGAAACCCTTATCAAGCAACTCCAATCTGAATCTTCAACTCTTTTAACTCTGTAGGCACCATCTGATATAGAGCAATGGATATCAGTGCAGTACCAGGCATAACCTCAATACCAAACTCAACCTCTCTCTTAGGAGGTAAACTAGGCAACTCCTCTAGAAACACATCTAGAAGTCACAAACTATAGGTATATCATGCACACTAGGAGATATATCATGCACACTAGGAGATTCTGACTCTAGATCAAGTACACAAGCTAAGTATGCTTCACAACCATGCTGGATCAATCTTCTAGCAGTAGAAGCAGAAATAATATTAGAGAGGTAATCTGACCTCTTACCCATAACTACAATCTCTTCATCAGATGAAGTCTGGAGTGTAATCCTCTTAAGTCTACAATCAATCATAACTCTATGTCTAGATAATCAATCCATACCTAATGTAACACCCTCCGCCGAGTCCCATGAGACCCGACGACGGATGCCACATTCGGTGCCGGAGACACCGTCTTAACTTAACATACAAATCATCAAATCATAAATAAGATTATGAATTAAGTATGGAGTATTCACAAGTGTAGCGAGAATTTTTTTTTTTTTTTCCCTAGATAATCATTTCATTTTCCGTTTTCATCTATTTTTTTTTTTTTTTTTTTTTGACAAAATAGATTGGGAAAAATCTACATAATATGGTAAAGGAATTTTCCCTCTTTTAAAAACTGAGCCTCGCCAAACATGTGAATACAAAGATCACTCCCAATTAAGCTCCAAACTCCCCAACATCTCCACCGATACTCATCATAACATAACAACAACACTTCTATAAATTTCATAATTATAATAAATCTCCAATAGCAGTTTAATATTCATCAATTATATTGATTCATATATATTATACAAGTCTTAATAAACTAATCATACCAACTCTCCTGAAATATTTTGATATTCAATCATTTAATGAATCTTATGCTTATCTCCGAATATCCCGACACCAACATAATTGCTAATTACATGCTTAAGTTATATATTCAATAATACATCTCTAACATACCATAGTTCTTAATACATAAATCTCAATTCTAATCCTACCCAATTATGTCACTTCTGCCTGAGCACTCTTCAGTCTTCCATGCCAACCCCCAGTTTTAACCTGCGCGTGATAAAAATCATACACGCTGAGTATAAAACTCAGTGTGCTCATATTCACATTTAACTACTAAAGTTGTGATGACAACTTACCTTAAAACACAAATTACATAAAATCATTAAATTTCCAACATACATGTTACATTTATAGCAAAAGGAAATATCAATAAACTATTAATTAATAACATAAGGAATTTAAACTTCTTTCAACTCATAATTCATTCACTTGCACATTATTATACCAATAACATATACTATTTTAGTTAAAACCATGTACCGGAATACATGCTTGAAATTCATTTGATAACATAATCAATTAATTTTCCAAAGTAAGTTTACTAAATAATATGCCATCTCATTCGTTAATTCAAATACTTTGAAGTATAGACGATTAATAATACAAATACTGGTTAATTCTTTAGTTAAGGCTCGTACTAATACAGAATGAAACGATAAAGCAGGATTTGATCGTAGCCTGATGAAAGCACCACCCGTGGCCTATGAAAGCACCAACCCCCATCAACACAATCGTGGCCTATGAAAGCACACCCGTGGCCTAATAAAAGCACCACCCCATGCACACAATCGCTGGCCTATGAAAAGCACCACCGTGGCCTATGAAAGCATCCACCCTCCATCACAGAAATAAGCTGTGTCCGCCTATTTATAGGGCTGATAACCCTAGCATATGAATCATGAGCTTCACATAACAATCAATCTCCAATCATACCACGTTTCCAACATGCATAGTAGACCCCACATCAAAATCATTCTTTCACAAAACAATAATTCTTAATCAAAACCTCTTCATACTTAATACCCAGTCTTATGTTCAATAGTTTCTCAACTACAACTTCCAAAAATTTCCACATTCTCAAAGGAAATAATTTCAAAATATTATATATATATATTATATATATATATATATATATAATATATATATATAATTTGAAATAGGCTCGTTTTACAAAGGATCGTTTTACAAACAATATTTTAATTTACTAGTATGTTGATTCTGAAGTAAACTTTAGAATTTTAAAGGTCAATATACATATAAATAAGAATTGTATAATCTGTGGGATCTATAAATATATAAATATAGTTCATTTACAAATTTCTGATGTGGAAGATCAGACTAAGCTGCATCCACAGAGTATACTTATGATCAATTTACTAATTTAATATTTTTAATATTTATCAATCAACTCAATCAATTTTATCAATATATTTTACACAGGGTTTAGGGTTCCTGCAACCTTAACCTGGGATCCCCAGAATTAAGTCAAAGTGTGGAGGGAGAAGAAGAAAGGTGCCGTTAACACGGTCTTACCAAAGTAGCAATTTAATTTTACTAATATAAAATTGAAATTACAAAATTTAATTAAGATATACAAATTTAAATGATAAGATCAAACTAGTTTATACTTACAGAGATTCTCTAACCTTGAATCCTTACAATCGATTTTGATAGAAGGAGGAGAGATATCTAAGGTTTTATCCTAGCTGAACTTATGCCTTCACAAAGGGGAGAGGCTCCCTTTAAATAACAAAACATGGAATCTTTACTATTTACTTTTACTGTTGGTGAACAGTGTCATGTCTGCCACCGAATCTTGCTTTTTACTGTGGATGAACAGTGAGTTGTCTACCACTGTGTCTTGACCTTTACTGTTGAGAATAGTACCTGGCTTCTACTGTTGAAATAGTAGCTCGCCCTTTACTGTAGATGCATAGTGGTTGACCCTTACTGTAGATGAATAGTTTTTGGTCTGCCACTTGATTAGTTGGAGATAATATCTTAGCGTCTTTACTGAAAAGTTGAAGGAATAAGGTTCCTTCTGCCTGTTTACTTCTAATGATTCAGAATAAGATGAGGACGATGAGCTGTCCTTCTTTTTCTTTTTTAGCTTTTCTTTTCTTTTTTCTCTTTTTATCTTTTCTTTCTTTGCTTTTGCCTTTTTACTTGCTTTACTTTTGATTTTAATGGGAGAAGGAATATCATCATTACTCTCACTATCTTCGGAGGAGGATGAAGATTGGGATGATGATGATGATACTACTATCACTTTCTTCAACGGATGATGATGTTGAAGATGATGATAACACAATTTTACCTTTACCTTTATGACGCGTGGTCTTTGAAGATTTACTAGAAGATGCACTGGGTGCTTTACTGAAAGATGGGTTTATGGGCTGATTTGAACTGGTTGAGAGTTGTTCAAACATCTCTTGACAAATCAGTTTATATTCTTCTGGCGTTTTAGCAGCAGATAAACGGGCCTAACATTGGGCCTTCTGGATCCCAAATTGAGGGTTATCCTGAATGGCTAATGTACTGGCATACGTTAAGGCTGGTTTAGATGGGCTGGATAATTTCTTTAGAATCCATTGACGGATTTTAAGTTCAGTAGTGGAATTTTTAAAGAATCCCCACCATTTGATTTTATGGCGTTTTACAAGCATAGGAATTTGGGTTCCTGGGATATAGTGATAGTCGAAATACCATTGATATACCCATGGAGTGAAGAAGGACATACAATAATACATAAGAGAAGGGATATGAACTTATTCAGGTTTAGGTTTACAATGGGCTTTAAAGTATTGTTATAGTGAAATGATATCTTGAGGAATGATTTCCTCAGAAATACCTTTAAACTGCCACCATCGTTTAAACCAATTTGGTATTTTTAAATCAGTTCGTATACTTTGATCAAAATATATTAACCAAGAATGTGTTTTAGTGGGATTTTGAATACAAAAAACCTTGTCCCGCGCATCTTTATAATCAAAATAATTATAATTAGTATTATAAACTCCATATGTTTTATACAAATTTTTAAATCTTACTGGAGTATATAAAGAAGATACGGGCCAATCCTTAGGATGGTTGACGCGTTTTATTTGTAAAGAACAATACAAAATAATTTTATTTTTATCAAAAGTATGTTTAATTTTTACAGATTCAGTATCAACTAAAATAGTATAGTAGTATTCCTGAGGTTTTGAAAGATCCGTTGGAACACAATACCAATCCTCAAGGTAATAATTTTTAACAATTTGCCAAGGATTGATATTGGTATATCCATCCTCAATTTCAATTTCAAAATCATACAAACTTTTTACAAACCATTTATGGATATTACTAGTATTACCATATTGGATTTTTGGCAAATCCACACCATCTAACGGATTTGATAAGCTGCTTACTGTCTACCGTTTTGCGACAAGAGTACCGTAGGCATGAGTGGTATCGATCGCTGTTAGGTTTAGAAGCCATACCTGACTCTTCTGTGAAAGAAAGAGGCCATATTCCTGCAATGCTTTAAGAGCTCTGGAGATGAGAGAGTTTACTCAATCCACTTTTTTACGGTCTTTTACAAGGACTTTAGGGTTTTAGGTAGGTCTTCTGAATGCTCTGAAAAGAGCTTTAGGGGAAGGAACTTTACTAGGGGAATCTGGCATTTGGGTTCTTCCTTAATCCGTTCCTTTTCTTCCTCGTTCTGTAGAGAATTCGCGGTGTTAGAGACTTCCCATCGTTCTGTAAGAATTCGCGGGTTAGAAAGTCTGGTATATTATTTGAATTTCCTTTTATAAATTCAATATCAAATTCAAATATACTTAAAAGCGCTTGCCATCTAGCAAAAATTTGTTTAGAGGCAAGGTTTTGAACATCTTTCTGCAAAATGTCTTTGGCAGATTTACAATCAATTCTTAACAAAAACTTTTGATTTAATAGATCACTTTGAAATTTATTGATACAAATTACTATACTTAAAATTTCTTTTTTAATAGTAGAATAATTTAATTGAGTTGGAGTCCAATGGCATGAAGTGTATTGGATTATCCGTTCTTTACCATCTAGTTTTTGTTTTAAAATACCACCATAACCAATGTTAGAAGCATCAGTTTCAACAATTTTAAAAGCATTAGGATCAGGAATATACAAATAAGGAAGCTCTTTTACTAAAGATTTAATCTTTTTTACTAATTGTGTATGCTGATTACTCCAAGGACCAGCATTTTTACGAAGTTTATCATGCAATGGTTTTAACATGCAATTTAGATTGGGATAAAAATCAATTACATAATTTAGACAACCAAGAAATCGTTGTAATTGGAGTTTATTAGTAATTTCATCTGTAAATTTTTCTCCAAAAACAAGTGTTCTTTCTATAGGTTTGTTCTTTCTATAGGTTGAATTATACCTTGTTCTATATAATGACCTAAAAATCTAATTTTAGTTTTAAATAAATCCATTTTAGTTTTACTAAGTGCCAAACCATTTTTCTGAATAATCATACAAAAGGTTTTTAAGTGTTTAAAATGGTTTTCAAGTGTTTGACTAAAAATTAATACATCATCTATATAAACGATACAAAATTGAGAATATGGATTAAAAATGTCATTTATTATCCTTTGGAATTCTGAAGGAGCATTTGAAGGAGCATTTTTTAATCCAAATGGCATTACATTCCATTCGTATTGACCAAATGGAACTGTGAATGCTGTTTTATATCTGTCTTCAGGGGCAATTTGAATTTGCCAATAGCCAGATTTCATATCAAATTTACTAAAAATATTTGCATTATATAGTTTCTTTAAAAGATCCTTTTTATTTGGAATAGGATACCTAATCCATTTTAATGCGGTATTTAATGGTTTATAATTTATGACTAACCTAGGTACTCCACGTTCTATTTCTGCATTTTTATTCACATAAAAAGCAGCACAAGACCATGGGCTTCTAGATTTACAAATTAATTTTTTATCTTCTATTAATGTTTTATCTCTAATTCCTTTATTTCTTTTACAATGTCATAAATAAATCAAACTTCCAGGGTTCATTCTGAATTGGTTCGAGCTTTAGTTTTTAATAGTTTCTTTCATCAAAATCTTTTTTCATATGGTAAATCAACTAATGCTGTTTTGCGATTCCACCAACTGCATTTGGAATGATCAGCAAAAGCAAAGGTTATTTCCATATAGTTCTTTTTAAAATTTTTT